CAAGATATATGATAATATAATTTGAAATAGAAATTATATAGAAAACCAATTTAAGATAGATAAGATTATTATAATAATATACTAACTAAATTAATAGAACAAGAGAAAAGAGAAATTCTACTAAGAAAATTATCTATAGCTAAAATAACTCAAGTATATTATATAACTTTATGAGATTATTTTTGTGATATAGCAATATATGATGCAGTAATAATTTGTAAAAGAAAATATAATTTATTATATAATAATAATTATAATTAATATAATAAATAAAGTTATAATTATTACTAAAATTATATATTAAAAAATTAAATTTATTAATAAAATATAATAAAGATTAAAATTTTTTACTTTAATAAATATTTTTTATTTTTTATATCAAAATAATTAAATAAAATTCTTAATTTATAATATAAGATATAATTTTTTAAATAATATTTTTAAAAAAATTTAAATAATTAAAAAAAATTATATAAATTATAACTTTTATTTTAAAATAAAAATAAAAATTCTTTTTTTAATAAAATTATAAATATTAATATAAAAAGAAAATTTTAATTTCTAAAATATTTTATTAATAAATTTAACTTTTAATATATAACTTTCAATAATTATTATATATAAATAGTTTATTTATTATTAATTTTATATAAATTTTTATTTTCTATATATAATTAGTAATAAAAAAAATTAATTAATAAAATTTAATAAAAATTATTAAAAAAATATAAATTTTTATAAAAATTTATTAATATTTATTAAAAAGTTAAAATTAATATTTTTAATTAATTTTTAAATTAAAAAATTAATTTTAAAATAATTAAAAAAATTTTATTATATAAAAAAATAATTTTAATTATATTTTTCTTTATTATATAATAAAATATATTTAATTTTTATTTAAATTTTATTAAAAATTTTTTATAATCTAATAATTAATAAATAATATAGTAGTCATCAAAAGTAATGCAATACTTAAATTTTTTACTAATTATAATTAGTAAAAAATTTAAGTATTATATTACTTTTGATGATCATTATATATAAAATAATTTTTATAAAAATTTTAAAAATATATTTTTTATAATTTTATAAATTTTAATTCAAATTTATAATATATATTATTAAAATTTTTATTAAATTATATTATTTTTTATTCTAAATATTTAAAAATATATACAAATATTATTTTTATTTTTTAAATAATTTTTTTATTAATTTTTATTTAATTTCAAAAAATAATTAAGTTTTTATTACTAATTAGATCTTTTTAAAAGCTAAATTATAAATTAATGATTTTATATTTATTATTTATAAATTAAAATATTTAAATATAGAATTATATATTTATTTATTATAATATTATAATTTAAAAATTATAAATTATAATTAATTATAATTTATTTATTTATAATAAAAAATTAAATTAATATTATTAAAGAAATTTTATTTTTTATTAAGATAAAATTTTAATTAAAATTCTATATTAAATAAATATTAATTTTTTTTTATAAAATAAACTGATTATTTTTTGTTTATTTTAAAATTAATTAAATTTTTAGTTTTTTATTATTTGATTTTAATTAATTAAATTTAGAATATAATAAAACTTATATATATAATATATAATTGGTTATAATTAATGCAATATTATAGTACTAATTATAATTAATGTGATACTTGAATTTTTTTACTAATTTAATTAGTAAAATAATATTTTAAAAATAGTTAAGTTCTCTAGTTTGACATATATTTTTTTCAGGAACTTGTTTGTATTACATATGAAATTAGTAAAAATTAATTGCCTTCATATATAATACAAACAAGTTTCCAGTAAAAAGTCTGGAAAAATCTGAAAAAAATATAGAGAACTTTAACTATTTTTTGAAAAATATTTGTTAGTAAAATTAAAAACTTTTATATGTAAGGAAAAATATGCATTTTTACTATATTAATTTGTAAAAAGTAAAACTAATTCATCCTTTCCAGTTATTAACTACAAGTATAATTAAAAAAATCTTTCTGTCACACCTCTTTGTAATCACTCAATTTTACTTTCCAAGAGAAAGTGTATTAATTTTTAGAGATGGTCTTGAGAAACTAGTAAATTTATATTCCAGCAGATAATGATTCCAAGCATGCGTTTAAAAAAAGTAAGGCAATAGTTTCTTGATAACAGCCTTATTTTCCACATTTTTAATTTACTACCATTATGTGATTAACTTTCATAAAATTCGATGCTTTTCAAGCAGGCTTTTCCCACAATCGTTTTATTAAAAAGTGATCCAACTTTGTTCCATAAATTTTTGATTGGATTTAGGTTGGAGGATGGACGGGCCAATCAAGTAAGCCGCGAATACACAGAACGTTAAAAAAAACACTAGCTTGTGAAAATAAGAATTTGCATTTGATTATTATTTTATAAAATCCATTTACTTTTGGTCGTGCATAATTCTTCAATAGCGAGATATTTGAATCTCGCTATTTTTTCTGTGTTCCATTTCTTTAATGGGTCATACGGAATACAGGAAATATAATTTAGGATCTGGATAGGGTTCGTGGACGTTATGGTAAGCATAAGTTAATGCAGTATCTAAAATGCAACCGCCAGCTTTAATTTCATGAACTAGTGAACCAAAATTTTCTTTCGACGATTCACTTCTCATCATTATTTGCGTATATCGGCTAATTATATCAAATGCACTAATTGAATACTGAGACGAGTGGTTTTCTCAAAGAAAAATATGATAATGTGTTCATAAAATACAGTAAATTATTATAATACATGTAATAATTTCTATTTATTATATATATGTAATAATAACTATTTATTTTATAATTTCGTTGTTATGTTTGCGCATGCCATTCTTGTGGCTATTCATAAATTTAGCAAAAAAAAATCAGCTCAAAATTGCATGCTTTCGTAAATATAAAGAATGATAAATTACTTACTATTGGGAAAATGAAAGACCACCGAACGGCCCCGAATAGTTGAATCACTTTCGTCCCATTTTAAAAATTCGTCGTAATATTGTTGAGAGAATGTACCGCTTGAAACTCCCGGAGCTGGTCCGTGTTTGCCTATTGTAAAAATGTAAAGACGTCAAATTACCATCTGAATATTTTAATTTAATTAAAACATACCGCTCAGATCGCCTTCTTGGCAAGCGGCCGGATTGGCAGAAGCACATGGAAAGCTTTCAGGTATGCCTATACATTATTTTTATAAATTTATAATATAAGTTAACAACTTCAAATAACATCAAATAATAAAAAGGGGAAAAAATATATCAATAATACAAACCATTGGGTGATAAATGACCCAGAGTAGCATCACAATCTCCATCTTGCGGAACAGGTTTCAAATGAATGTGATAAAGATAAGACCCAGTCGTATTAGTCAGTCCGGATTCGATTGATACGCTCACTTGAGTATTGTCCGCATTGGTTAATCCAGAGAAGGTAACGGATCCACGAACATTGTTTTGATGTCCATCGAAAAGCGCAACTGCTAATCGGGAGCTATTGTATATGGGTTTGAAGTTTGGGTCATTAACTGTATTAGCAGGTGGTATACGCCTAATTAACGGTGAAGCTATTGTTAATGTTGAATAAAACCCGGCGATTATAAGAAAATAAGAGATTAATCTTTTCATATTAATTAAATTGAATTTTATTATAAGTATTGAGTTGTTTCCACTCTTTCTTTGAATTTTTGAGGTGAAGTAAGCCGAAAAATCTTGGAATTTGAGTACACACAATTTATAGATGAATGAAAGGCTTAGTGCCAAAAAAAAATTACACATACATGTCATGTAATTGGTTGTGTATATTTTAATTAAACCCATTGTATATCTGCTTTTATGGAAAAAAAGCTCATGTCAAATGAAAGATGTCACAACTAAAAATACCCGTTGGTCATTCATTTATGTTTCAGTATACTCGATGCACACAACTTGAATCTTTATCATTTTGTAATTTCGTGTGGCTTATTATTGAGTTGCGTCAGCCCACCTTTATCGATTGATTAATAATCATGTTCATGTATGTGTTCAAGTTATTTTTGCCATAAAAAGTAATCAATAAAATTAAAGAACTCAAATTTTACGATCATCTTTTGCATAAGTTATCACTCGTATCGTTTTTCTTGGCATCGATAATCTTTTATATTTTACTTCATTTGCTACATATTCATTGATTTACTAGTTCATATTTGTTATTTATATTCTAAAGGGATCCGAACGGCTTTGATTTAACAAACATTGATATTGAACAGTTCCCCAATGAGTCGGACGAGCCGCAGTTGGTGCTAGTGCTTTTATGGTTATAGTGTTGGAGTAGTTGCCATTGCTTCACCGGTAATTGAAACTATTACTACTTATGCTAAGAAGAATTATTATGAATCTAAGGAAAAATTATCATGGGTTAGTAGGATTACTTAAGTCGGTAAGTATGGAGAAGTAAATAAAAAACTCGGAATTTTTGAGACAAAAAAACTTATGAATTCTTATGGTACCAATCGGTCAGTAAATCAAATTTTAGAACCGATATCTTCGAATACATTTAGTTTTCATATAATTATCATTATTTAAATACATGTAAATTCTTTTTTAAATTGAATTTTTAAATTTATATTGTAAGATTTCACCATTTTTGAATTTTAAATTATTATTTTCAATTTTTAACAATAATTTAAATTTTACAATGAGTGATAATAATGACAATAAAACTTTAGAGAAGAATAATGATAACCAAGAAATGGAAATCGCAAATTATCCTATTTAAAAACACAGTTGCATTTGAAACCATTTTACTTTGAAAAAATCAAAGTGCAATTAATTGCAAAATTCTTATTTCAGTTAATAAAGATAGTGTGCCTAATCATTTTAAATTCAAATATAACTTAAATAAATTCAACAAAATTTCTTCAAAAATACGATAAAAATTATGATAAATTCATTTATCTTTTTATCTTGAATTTATAAAGTAATTTGTTACATTATTTAATTTTATTTATTGGTTTTCAAATTTATTGTATTTAGCCATACTTTGAAAATTATTAATACAATATATTATGAATAAAATATCCTTTTATAAATGTTAAATCTGGAAAAAAAGATTCATAGTTTATATAAAAAAGTTATATTCCATTAGCAAACATTATAAAAATGAATTTATATATATTTATAATAATAAAAAAAAGAAATAAATTAAATTTTACAGATATTTAAGTTAAAATAATTACTCTTAATTTATATAAAATATTCTAGCAAAATTTTTTTATAATAAATATCCGGATATTATTCTTATATAGCATAATAGCACAAATAAAAAAATTTATTTTTAAATTTTATTAAAGTAAAAGAATTATATTTTATGAAATATCAAAAATTTTTATAAAAATTATTATAAAACTAATTTTTTTTAATTTTTATAAGTATTTAAGAAAAATAATAAATTTTATTTTATATAAATTTTTAATATATTATAAACAAATAATTAATATATTTATATATTTTCAATATTTATTTATAGTATCAGATATTTAAGTAAGAGAGAAATTTTATATAAAATTATTAATTAGATATATAGAAAAGAAAGTATAAATATTGAATAGTATTATATTTAATATCTAAATATAAATTAAAAAGCAAACTCAAATATTATTAAAGAATACAAATTATATAAAAATTTACTAATTATTAATTTATAATAATAATAGATAATCTAAGTAATAATATAATATTTTATATATCTATAAACTCTAATTATTAATAAAATATTAAATTTAATATTATTTATTAATATAACTATCTTATTTATATTATTAATTTTGCTATTTAAAAACAAATAATAATAATAATAATAATAAATTTTTAAAAAATATCCTCTGTATCTTATTTTTATATATCTTATAGATACTAGAATTACAGTTGGCGATATAAAGATTCGGAAATTTATTCATATTTATAAAAAAATTTATTTACTTATTTTTTAATAATAAA